TATATTATCTGATTGTTTAATTTCTCTTAACTTATTTTTTACCGAGAAAAATTCTTTGCAAACCTTATGTACCACGAGGGGTCATTTGAACCCTTATGGTAAGAATAGGTATGAGTAAAGTACCGGTACGTTTAGTGTTAATAATTCGAGTACTGATTATTTCGTTTTGTGCTTCTTTTTAATTATCTAGATCTTAATTCATACGATTTAGATCTTTTTGTAGACCTTAATTCAATGATAATAATAGTAAAACAGTTTAACACGTTAAGTGCCTAGCCCGTTTTGCTTGCCGTTCCGTTCAGGCCCAGACTCGGCCTGAGATGGGCCGTCAAGTGGGCCACTGGCGGTGGGCGAAGTGTTCATAAAACTCGGAGATACTGTACCAATTGTTATAACAGGAATTCCCAAACGTTAGGTCCAAAGATGGCGAAGAATTTAACCACTTGCACTATCAAGGAATTCACAGACACGTGTGCTGTCCAGTATCTCTGTGACAATTGTCTGACGACGTGTATACCACGTCGTTGGTGATTCTGCGACAAAAGCATTACGACGTGCGTGACACGTCTTTATAGCGCAAGTGGTTAACCTCTATAAAGACGTGCCACACACGTCGAGATGCTTTTGGTCCAAAGTCGCCAGCGACGTGTATACCACGTCGATAAGTATTTGTCGCAGAAACAAAAACGACGTGTCCGTCACGTCGGCTAACAGTTAGCTCGTAGGCGCGATGCGGCGTCAATGTAACGCTTTACCGCATGTTATATCGTAGAGCGCGGTACGGCAACCGAAAGTTAAATCGTAGCGCAAGTGGTTAACACCAAAAGTTAGCACCTTTTGGTCCTAGTCTGGACGGTCCCTGAGGACCGGCCGGGCCCGAACGAAAAGTCTAGCGCCGGTCCCTGGCGTGGCACTTAACGTGTTAAGATAGGCTTAAAGTATTATAGACTATTTTTTCTTATCACGTCTAATAAATTAGAAGCCATTCCCAATACTAAAGATTAAATACTCTGAAAGTGTATTATTTTATTATTATTATATTATTATATTAATCTTGTATATATTTAATCAAAAATTGTTAAGATAGACTTAAAGTATTATGGACTATTTTTCCTTATCACGTCTAATAAGATCTAACAATGCAAAAGATTGAATACTCCGAAGGTATATTCTTTTATTATTATTATATTATTATATTATTCTTGTATATATTTGATCAAAAGAAGAGTATTAAAATATTAATTTTTACACTGTTTCGCGAGATCCAAAAATAGTTTATAGAGTAACAAAAAAGAAATAATTGAATAATGCGAATTTTTATTATATTTAACAATACATTATATATAACGAAATATAATTAGGGGGAAGGTATTTTGAAAAATAATATTTATAACAGACTGATGAAAAATATTTTGTTCGTGAACATCGATAAACAAACAAACTCCAATAAATAAATGAAATAAAATTGACATAAGTTGACTTAAAGTAATAATGAAATTGATATCTATATATTATTTTTAAAAAAGAATAAGATAATATAATAATAATGGAAATATGAAATAATAAATAATAAGACAGAATAAAATATTACATGAAGTTCAGGAAAATTATATTTTCTAGAATATATTCAAATACTTTAAAAATTCAAAATGACTTTTCTGCCTTTAATTATCGTTAATATTTTTTAGAAATAAATATCTGCGATTATTTTGGAAGAAACAAATAGAACTGGAACAAAATAAAACAAAAGTATACTTTTTCCAAAATTCTTTTGAAATTGAAAACTCTTTCGAATTTCTTTTATAATTATAAATAATTGTCTGATACAATCAAAATAATATACAATTCCATTATTTTTAATAGTTTAACAATTATGATAGTTCATTTTGTTATTTTCCATTAATTATAATGTACTTTTGGAAAATTATGATTATAATTATTTGCATTTACTTCTATTAGTATTTTTATAATTTCTGGGTAAATATAATTATAAATAAATATAATGACATATAATATAATGGCATTAATATAAATAATAATATTGGCATAATTAAATATCCAAAAAAATACTCGAAAGAGATATAAGTTTCTTCAGGACTTTGTACCATTTTATAATTTTCTATTTTTATTATTACTTAATTATTAAATTATTATAATTTTCTATTATTTCCAATAGTTTCTCAACTATACTTTTCGGACATTCTATTGTATTGACCAAGGAATAATTAGAGTAAATAGTAATAAAAATGATTTTCCAATGATATTCTATAATAATAGTAAACGTGGTTACTTGTAACTATGATTTCACTCGTAAAGTAAAAGAAGGAAACATAAACATGATTACATATATTTATTACATCACACCTATTTCACGTGCACATTTTGATCTAACTACAGTCACGTTTTGAGAAAAACATGAATTTGACGTCAGTGTAAACACTGATTATATCTAATCTTTAAAAAGATACAACTGAACAAGCAGTGCAATATTTTGTAACTGGAATATTATGTTTTATGGCATTAACAATGCTTTCCGTTACAATATTTTGCTTCATGAATTTTATCATTTTCGTACACCATGAAAAAATACAAAAATTCCATTTATATTATTCATTAAATTCAAATTATATTATGAAATTTTCATAGCAATATTAATAGATACAAAACTTGAAAATTACTTTCCAAAATTGTTAATGAAAAATCAAGAAGTGTACAAAAATTTTTATAATTATGTGTGGCTATGCAAATAATATTTTAAAGAATTTTGAAAGGACAATTTATAGTTCGTTGAATATTTTTAATCGTGAAATTATTATATTTAGTGATCGTATATACATATATTAATAAATATATGTATAAAATTTTTTAAATATTTCATTCTTAATATTTAATTCTTCAAGACAGATGAGAATATTTCAAATCTTTAAACAATGTATACAATCATAATACTGTTCAAACATTTTTAATTTCTAATAAATATGATTATGATATACATAAATTAGAATATTTAAAGAATTTTTAATATTTTTTTGTTTAAATCTTTTCAAGCTTTTAACATTAAAAATTACTGTATTTTAGGAATGGTGTTATAATTATAATTATAATGTACTTATAAATTATAAAAAATTATAAAATTATGAAAAATCATAATGCAAGTTGAAATCCTTTTTCACTTTTGATTTTCTTTCTCTGGTTAATCAGAGTCTATTATATTAATCAGAGACCATAGCCATTGCAATTCAATAGAATTTGGCTAAAAAGTTCAGTTTTATTGACATTTTCGACTAATATTGTGGTGAGCAAACTTTTTTGCATAAATAAGGAGGAAAAATTCTATTTGTTTACTATAGCAATCAGTGTCACAAAAATTGAAATACCATATTTTGTACCATTTCATGCGCGAATTTTCTAGAATGGATGTAAAACAACTCCATAGTATTTAGGATAGTGTTACAACGCATTCTTCGAATTTCAAATTCATTGACTTCCTAAACAGTCGAAAGTGTGCTTGAACGTTTTCCTACATTAAATTTTAATTCTAGAAAATGTGTCACTGACTTTGGTTCACGATTGGTCGATAACCTGTTAGACGTGCCATTGAAAAGTGACCTCTTGCGAAATGCGGTCAAGGACATCACTAGGACCTTTTGTAGGGCAAACGCCATTTCTTCTTAATTAACTGTCCTACACCTGTGACAATTAATTTCTAAAATTTAAATTTTCAAGCTTTCGTATGGTATATCATAATATTAATAAGAGTTGCTATATTATAAACTATTAAATTATGCAATAAGTATTAAAAACGTATTCAAAATGGCATTTATGCTAGTTAAATAAAACTTTAATTATAGATGATAAAATATGATCTTTCATTTAAGGATGTTTTGTAATTAAATGTAATATTATATTTTTTTAAAATTTACTTTTTTAATTATTATTATTATTACAAGAAATAAACAAAAATAAAAGATAAATACAAGCATGATAAGAAAATAAAAATAAAAATAGAAATAAAATAATCTAAAACGAAAAAGAGGTGATTAGTTTAATCTTCTTCATCTTTTCGTTATAATTTACCACTTTGGGGAAAAATGATTTTTCAAAAATGATTTGATTTTATGGGACATTCCAAGAAAACTTCTTTTAATACGATATTTGTAAAAAACTTTAAGTTTAATGTAAAATGTATAATTTTCATTAAATTCCGAATAAATCAAGAAGTAATTCATATTATTACTCATAGTATCGTTATTCGTGTAAATCTGAGATAGTTTCTTCTGAATTTAACAAATATATATATAATTTAATAAAACGTAACGCAAGCTCAACAAATTAATCATGTTAATTGTTAGAGATTAATTAAAATGAATTATAAAGCAAGGATTAATTTCTTTTAGTTCAAAATGTAATATGTATTCTGAAAACGTATTGACAGCCAAATAAAGTAATTGTACTAGATACTGATAAATATGAAAAATAAATTATAAAACTCGGATTATTTTTTATAGTTAAATGTTTTATGGTGAGAAACAATAAAATTGCCATTAAAAAGAATTTCCAAATACGTATAATACAGAATATTATTAATTACATTAGTAATTACAAAAAGGGGAAGGAAAATAGATGCATTTGATAATTAAATTAATTAAAATAATAAATATTATTTAATGTATTATAAATATTATATATTTATAATAT